ACTCCGCCTGTGTCTGTGGACACCCACCCCTCCACTCCGCCTGTGTCTGTGGACACCCCCCCCTCCACTCAGTCTGTGTCTGTGTGTTCCCTGAGACTGGAACATGTTTTATGTATTTCCTGACATTTTCAGAGTTACTCCTCCTTGGTTCTCAATCAATTCTAATCCCCGTCCCTCACCCAGGGTCTCTTACCTATATTTGCCATCTCAGGCACCGTGGCGCTGTAGGGGCCTTCATCAAAGAGAGGCGGGTTGTCATTGATGTCCTGAACCCGAATTATGAACTGCGACGAGGGCTCCAGGGCGCGGTCTGTTTGCCTGTCGGTGGCCGTGGCGATGAGACGGTACTCGTCCTTCTCCTCACGGTCCAGCGGCTTGGTGACGTGGATGTTGCCCGTCTTCTCGTCGATCACAAAGACCGATCCCGCCCCCTCGCCTCGCAGGACGTACTTTGTGCGTCCATCATTCCTGTCCATGTCCGTGTGGAGCTGGATGAGAGAGGAAGGGAGAGGGGAGGAGGTGAGGGAGGGGAGGGAGAGTAAACAGCAGTTAGAAATTAAGTTTACCTTCACAAGACACGGCAACGAAGACAAAACAAAGTGATTAGCCTCAGCATGTCGCCTGAACGGAACGAATTCAACAGAGTCAGACAAAAGACACACACACACACACAATGCCTCTGTGTGTGTGTGTGTGTGTGTGTGTGTGTGTGTCAGAGCCTTTCTCTCAAACACACACCACATCACGCAGCCTTATCTCCATGATCACAGCCTCATCAGTAGACTGTGTTAAAAACATGGACGTTGGTGTTCAGTTCAGTCGGTGCAGACATAGACCTGGACCTAACGGTTCCTGGTCCAATCAAAACCCACCCTGGACTGAAGAGTTCACTCCTCCTCCATGTTTGTAGGTCCATTTTCTGAATTCAATGTCCCAATTAGAGGAAAACTGACCATAACAGGAAGTGGCACCTGAACTGTTTCCTCTTTTTTTATCGTGTCTCCACGACAGATGAACTCAAACCAGTGATCATGACCACAGACCTGGGGTCAAACTGTCCAAACACATGAATGAACGTCAGTCGTCAGTGTTTTCTGGTCTGTTGTTGTAACAGAGCAGCGCTCCAGTCCAGGACCAGGACTCCACTCTGGTCTGTGATTGGATAACGACGTGTCTCATCTTTTTACATTGGCTCGGCAGAAGGTTCTCCTTAATCTTAATAATATCTCCGACACATGCTGCCTCGCTCGCTCC